CCGTGCTCTACAGCAATAGCTTTCAAACTTTTCTGACACTGGCCACGTATGAGAAGAAAATATCTAACTGAAACAAAATTTCACCTTGGTATTTTCTTTTAATTTTCCATTTTTCATCCCACTCCTCTTTCTCCTGCTCCTCTTCCTCATCCCCTTCTTCTCTTCTTCCTTCTTATGATTGAGTTCCACTCAATAAATTTCATAACCCACAATTTGGAAAATTCCTTCTACTACAGAGACTGGAAGGGCTAAATTAATTTTCTCAGCCTCCTTTGCAGCTATGCCACTAGAGGTGATCAGGTGTCCAACTTCTGGCCAATGAGATACAGACATCTGCCTGCTGGGGGTACTGGAAAGCATTTGTTTCCTGCTGCTGTGGTTCTGTACCTCTCCTCCCTGCTCTGAAGTTGCGTCATGTCCAAAGTGGAAACAGCCACATTATGACTATGGGTGAAAGGTCAAAAGAATCACAAGGACACTTGACCTAATTTTTGTGGCACTTTCTAGGTCACTAAAATAAAGTTGGGAACAAAATGAACCCAAGGATAACTCCATGCCTATCCCTCACTCACATGTTTACCTTCCTGCCATTAGGCCTGGAGATCCCAGCCAGGTTCAGACCATCTTCCTGCCTTACAGAGAAGACCAGGGCTTCAATACTGCACCTCAAAAACCAGAGAACGTGGGATTATGCACAAAATTCCTTGTTGCCAAGAGGTCTCGAGTGACATTTAAATTCACATTTGTTTCCATAAGAATTTAGGGTCCTCATTTGAAGTGTTTTAGTTTATTTCAAGTCTTAAGAGGATTAATGGACACTGAACAGAGAAGATTCTAACCCTGGCCTAATCCCTGGCTTCTCCCTCTCAGAATTTGTGGATTGAAGGTTCCATCAGTCAGAGGGAGGCAGACAAGTCAAGTGTTCAGGTTTCCCTGGGAATCTACACTAAGGTATGCTAGCCAGGGAGCAAGTCGCAGTCTTGGTCATTTGCATCTTCTGTTGAGGGCCTTAGCGAGAATATGAGAGTCTTTCCAGGTTTAGAGAGCAGACAGGGCTGAACCATTCTTTGGGCCATTGTCAGGCTCAGTATGATCAAGTTACTATGGCACCTTAACATTAGTCAGGTGTCGCTCCCCCTCTTCACGGAGGAACGACACAGGACCCTGCGCTGTTCTTTTGTCTGCTCGGCCCTCCCCGGGTTTGCTGCTGGTTCTTCCCGGGCTGGCTACCGACCCTTCCACCTCCGTGGAGAGGCGGGCCCCCTGCCACTTTCCCCACTTCTGCAGGGGAGCGGCACACTGCCGGCCGGCTCTCTCGGGGGCTGCACAGGTGTTCCTTCAGATAGATGTTCCCCAGTGCATGTTGTCTCTCTCCTCCTTTATAGTCCTCTTCCGCCAATCCCAACTCTGCTACCCACACGCCGAGTGCACTGCTCTCCTCTGATCAGGAGCAGGTCCTACAGTTTATTGGTTGAACTGGAGGCAGCTGTGTAGAAGCTGTTTCCTCCTCTCCCAGCGCCATATTGTGGGAGAGCAGATGCATAGAATAAGTCTTAATTCCAGTAACTTAGTCTAGTCCGAGTTGTTCCCAGTTGCTCCCCACAGTCAGGGTTCTACAGTGAAACAAAACCACTATGGATATATGTGTTCATACACATAGACATGTGTCCCTTAGTAACAGGAATACATTCAGGAATGCATTCTGTACAGTTATTTTGTTATTGTGCAAACATCATAGAATGAACTTACACAAATCAAGAAAAGTGCAATGTCACAAGGCAATAAAATTTTAAGGGTTAGCTTCCATAAATGTGGGCCATAGTTGGCCAAATAGCATTATGAACCACTTATGGTTCAACTTATAATGTTTTGACTTCATGATGGTGTGAAAGCAATGTGCATTCAGTACACTCTACTTTGAATTTTGATATTTTCCCAGGCTAGTGATACACCTTCCCCAGGATACTCTCTTGCAGTGCTGAGCAGGGCCAGGTAGTTGTAACTCCCAGTCAGGCATGCAATCATGAGGGTTTCCAACTGATTCTCTACAGTGTACTGTGTTGCTAAGCTACAACATAAAGTAGGTGCCTTAAATGCATTTTATTTATTTATTTATTTATTTTGACAGGCAGAGTGGACAGTGAGAGAGAGAGAGAGACAGAGAGAAAGGTCTTCCTTTGCCGTTGGTTCACCCTCCAATGGCCGCCAAGGACGGCGCGCTGCGGCCGGTGCACCGCGCTGATCCGATGGCAGGAGCCAGGTGCTTCTCCTGGTCTCCCATGGGGTGCAGGGCCCAAGCACTTGGGCCATCCTCCACTGCACTCTCTGGCCACAGCAGAGAGCTGGCCTGGAAGAGGGGCAACCGGGACAGAATCCGGCGCCCCAACCGGAATTAGAACCCGGTGTGCCGACGCCGCAAGGTGGAGGATTAGCCTAGTGAGCCGCGGTGCTGGCCTAAATGCATTTTCAACAACCATATTTTCAATTCACAATGGGTTTATGTGGATGAGACCCTATCATGAGTATAGAAGCATCTGTACTTATTTCTACTTTGTCAGCTTAATCCAGATTTTACTCAAAAGGAAATGTAGCACTAAGAAAAATTCTTTTAATTTAGCAGTATTTTTCAGAAGCTTAGAAATAATCAGTTTATCAGGAAAGCTTATAATATTTCAGTGTGTTAATTCTCATCATCTTACATACATAGTTTGTATTAAAATATCTGGCATTTATTTCCTTCTGCTTAAAATGCTCCAGAATTTCTGGCATAAAGAAATAAGCTGTGGAGGAAAATTAAGCTTTTTATTTGTCTGCATATAAGCTTCCATTTCCTTACCTGAACATTGAGGGAGTTTGACAAAATTAGCTCTGAAGTCTTTTCAGCTGCAATTTTTTTGGAGTCTATAAGTGATGAGCAGCATAGCCATTTGTCCTGTGGACAAGAGAGTGCAGGTATGTGAATGAAGGGGCATACTAAGTATTTCCATCTGGCAATGACTAACCACATAAAAGCATGGGGTCTGTTCTTTTTCCTTCCCTGTCATCACACCTCACCTCTCCCTCACCATTCCATCACATCTGCCAGGATCAGAGAATCTAGGTTATCAATGGTCAGCCTCAGTAAAGACATTGCCAGATGTTGTACAACGTTGATTTGAGCAAAACAGAGACCTGAATTGTGACCTTTGCCACCAAGATATAAAAAAGGAGACTAGGGGCGATGAGGCAAGCTCTTTTTCAAGAGGTGAGAGTTTGTAGAGCTTCCAGCCTTGTGGAAGAAAGTGGTACTCAACCCGCCCAACCTTAGAGATAGGGGCACCCAGAGAATTTATCTGTTGAGTCATGTGTCTGTGTGTGCTTCTCATCTGGAGCACTGTGCAGGACTCAGGATCCCCAGAAGTGTTCCATGTCCCAGTACAGTTACAAGAATGGGAGAAAGAGCCTGGGGACTGCCCATCTCTCACTATGCGGTGAGGGAGAGTCATGTAAACTTTCTCTCAGCTCGCAGTGAACTATGGAAGTTGGTGGGACATAGAAGCTCGCTTAATACCCACACCAGTGTGGCCTGACAAAGGATCAAGGTCATGGGATGACTACAGACTAGGGTTTTTGGGGTAAAAGGAAACCAGTATGTTCCCATGGGGGTGTACATGCCTGAACTATGCAGTCACCTCAAGTACACCACATCTTACAGCTCACATCAGATAAGGACACAGAGGCTGTAGCCAGCCAAGGAGTGACCATAGCCAGATACAGAATCTTCCCATCACCAACATTCAGCAGGCACCCCGAGATAGTGCCCTTTGTTTTCTGATGCTGAAGCTGTCAGGTACAGAGTAAGAACCCCTGGGAGCTTAAGGGTCAGAAAGGAAGAATGGCTGGGTAAAAGCTTGGAGAAAGTATTAAACAGGTAAGAACTGGTAATGATAATAATAATAACAATACCTATGCTTGACTTAATACATATTGGAGAGAGATTATGGTTCAGTTTAAAAGGGATTAAAACGGTTACAATGTTAGTCTCAGTTTTCTAAATTGTTCTGAATTTGGTTTTCCTATTGCTGGGCAGGCATAGAGGTTAGTCAAAGGAAAATACATTCAGAGAGGGAAAAAATAAGATTCAGGCTTGCATATCGCTGTTTGGTGACTTTCCAATTGATACATGCTCCGTGGAAATGTCTAGAATGATTCTTTTCAACTCAGCATTACCTTTCAAAGAAGATGGATAAGTCTGTTCATACCAGGTGGTTGTGTATGGGTTGATTTAATTCTGCCTGAAGTCAGTCTTGCTCTAATTTCATGACCTTCCCAATAGAAAGAACAGCTGTGATGACTAGAGAGCATTTGGACAGAAGGGAAGCAAAGGAAAGGGAGGATAGCACAGTCATTAGTAATTCTGACTTCATACGACTGGCTGTGATGCTTCTTAGGGGGACAGTTGGACCAAGGCTGTCCTCTATCAGGCACTTTATATTTTCTGGAGAGATAATGTTTAGATAGATGATAGATAGAGAGATAGAATCAATCTGTGTTGTTCCTGGCACACAGGTGATACCCAACAAATGGTAATTACCTGGTTTTTCATTGCATCATTACTGCTAAGAGATCGTCTCTTAAAGTAGCTCCGCAGACTTCAAGCTGAGTTCCTGGAAGGAGCCAGACAGCAGTGGTGGCCCCAAGACTTGCCAGTATGCGGGATGTTCTGGGACTCTGGGAGACAGCCTGTGCTTCTGACTCATTTCCTGTGTTTGGGGACGTCCAGCTGTGCTGCCTGTATCCTTTCCCCTAAGAAATCCCTAGTATGCACTAGTAAAGAGTAGTTTACTCTGTAGCATTTGCACTGAAGAGACTGTTTTCTTCTTCAGTGATTTTGGATTCCTGATTTCAGACCCCCTGCACCAAGAAGCTAGTAGTATATGTGGCTAGTTGCCTTCTGGTTTTACACACTTCCCATCACAGATGATCAACCATGGATAAGTTGCTTGTCTTTCCTCTCCTAGGTGTCAATCATTGTATCAAGAACAGGTGGGAAGAGTTGAGGGCTTTCTGAGTATAAATAAGCTTTGCGTGCAGCACCAGAGACTCCAAGCCTTTTCATCAGTAGAGAGAGCTTCTAAGTGAAGATAAGTAATCCTACAGATAAAATAGATATCAACAACACATGTAAGTCTCCAGTGCCCCCAGAAGTCCTCTGTGATGAGATCATTTCCTCCAATTCTGTTCCAAAGCATGAGATGATGAGTGACTTGCTTAAAGGTAGGCATTTGGTAAGTAGATTTGAACCCATTCCTGTCTGACTTTTTTTTTTTTTTTTTTGACAGGCAGAGTTAGAGAGGGAGAGACAGAGAGAAAGGTCTTCCTTCCGTTGGTTCACCCCGCAAATGGCCGCTATGGCCGGTGCTGCGCCAATCCAAAGCCAGGAGCCAGGTGTTTCCTCCTGGTCTCCCATGCAGGTGCAGGGCCCAAGCACTAGGGCCATCCTCCACTGCCTTCATGGGCCACAGCAGAGAGCTGGACTGGAAGAGGAGCAACCAGGACAGAACAGGCGCCCATACCAGGACTAGAACCTGGAGTGCCGTTGCCACAGGTGGAGGATTAGCCTAGTGAGCCGTGGCACCAGCCTGACTGTGGAGTCTTAATCTTGCCTCTGTGCCAAACTGCCTCACAAGTGTCCTTGGCTGAAGGATAGTGCACATTGGCTGAAAAGAGGGCCTTTGTATTGTTCCAGGGTAGAGGTGGAATCACAGGGTGAACCAAAGGCAACAGATTACAGTTTTTTAACTATAGGGAATGCCCCACTCCCACTCCTTTGCAATGGGATAAGCTGCTTTTTGAGACAGTGAACCCTTGGACTAGGGGTATTTACTGGATTCCTGGACAAGCATGGGTCAGGGCCACTGTGCTGAAATTCCTGCTTCAACTGGAAGACCAGACTGAACAAGTTTCCAGATTGTTCCATGCTTTTTAGAAGACATGCTGTACCAGGTGATTTTTGCTCTTCAGCTGTGCCTGCATGTCTCAGAAGCTGTTCTAGGCCCACTCCTGCCTTAAGTCCTTGCACTGGCTCCAACCTCGGCTGAAAGGTGCTGTCCCGCACAATTCCCAATTTGTTGACCTTTTCAAAGGTGTGAGCCCAGACCACCCCAGCTAGAATTCACTCTGTACTCATCCCTGGCAGACTTCTAATTCTTCTTCCTCTGCTCTATCTGCTTTATTCTGTAATTAATACACAGTTATTCTTAAGTGTTGAAATTTAACTGAAATGTGATCCCTGTTAAACATAAGAGTGGGAATAAGAGAGGGAAGAGATGTGCAATTCGGGACATGCTCAAGCTGACTTGCCCCAAATGGTAGAGTTAGAAACATACCAGGGGACTCCAATTTAATCCCATCAAGGTGGCATGTACCAATGCCATCTCACTAATGCAAGTGATCAATTTCAGTTCACAATTGATCATAATGAAAGGACTAAGAGTCAAAGGGAGCACATAAACAAGTCTAGTAACTGCTAATACTAACCGATAGAATAAATAAAGGGGAGAGTGATCCAATATGGGAAGCGAGATACTCAGCAGACTCATAGAATGGCGGATGTCCTAAACAGCACTCTGGCCTCAGAATCAGCCCTAAAGGCATTCCGATCTGGCTGAAAAGCCCATGAGAGTATTTCAGGCATGGAAAGCCAATACACTCAGGCAAAAACAAAAAAACAAACAAACAAAAAAAACAAACTAAATGAAAGATCTCTGTGAGTGAGATCCCAGTGGAAAGAACAGGTCTTCAAAGAAGGAGGTACCTTTCTCTGAAGGGAGGAGAGAACCTCCACTTTGACTATGACCTTGTCTAAACAAGATAAGAGTCGGAGAACTCAAGGGGCTTCCATAGCCTTGGAAACTCGTGACTGGTGCATAGGGAGATTACTGATGCCATAAATAGGAGTGTCAATTTGTAAAGTCAACAACAGGAGTCACTGTGCACTTACTCCTCATGTAGGATCTCTGTCCTTAATGTGCTGTACATTGAGATTTAATGCTATAACGAGTACTCAAACAGTATATTTCACTTTGTGTTTCTATGGGGGTGCAAACTGTTGAAATCTTTACTTAATGTATACTAAACTGATCTTCTGTAAAAAAAAAAAAAAAAGAAGAAGAAGAAGAAGAAGAAGAAATTATCAATTCCCAACTTGACTCTCACTGGGATTAAACATGACAATAGGTCTGATCTGATTTCATCATCATTTAAAAAATCATCTATTATTTTTCACTTTATGTTTCTGTGTGGGAGCAAACTGTTGAAATCTTTACTTAATGTATGCTAAACTGATCTTCTGTATATAAAGAGAATCGAAAATGAATCCTCATGTGAATGGAAGGGGAGAGGGAGTGGGAAAGGGGAGGCTTGCGGGTGGGAGGGATGTTATGGGGGGGAAGCCATTGTAATCCATAAGCCGTACTTTGGAAATTTATATTCATTAAATAAAAGTTAAAAAAAATAAAGAAAAAAAAACATTTTCATGAGAGAAGATATTATCTGATTGACCAATTGTCATAACATCATTTTTCAAATTTTCTACTCTTCCTTAATTCAAATGAAATACCATTATTGCCACAAAGTAAGTGAGTAAATGTTTTTATGTACTAGAAGTTAGCTCAGGGCTCTATTGGTTTATCACTTTGTGCATTATTTTCATACATATATAATTTCATATTATACATTTTGAATTATGATGAATTATGCTATTAGAAAATTTATAATGATAAATATTTGTGATTTGTAAATATAATTATCTGGGGGATAAATGACAGTTTTAAACATTGCAATTTTCACCAATAAAATGGTGCATCAACTTTAAAAAAAAAAAAAAAACTCTGTCCTGTCAGGTAATTTTTTTCTTTAATTCACTCACTGTCTTCTTTTTGAAAAAAGTTATTTTGTTTATTTTAAGATCAGAGTTATAAAGAAAAAAGTAGAGAGCGAGAGAGAGAGAAATCTTCCATCGACTGATTTACTCCTGAAGTGGCTGCAACAGCCAGGGCTGGGCTGGACTGAAGCCAGGAGCTTCTTCTGGGTCTCCCACCTGGTGCAGGGGCCCAGGCACTTGGGCCATCTTCCTTTGCTGCCCCAGGCACATTATCAGGGAGCTGGATTGGAAGTGGAGCAGCTGGGACTACAATCAGCACCCATATGAGATGCCAGCATAGCAGGCGGAGGCTTTACATGCTATGCCACAATGCCAGCCCCCATTCATTGTCTTTTATGTCTCCTTCTCTGATTGCTTCATGATTCAAAGAGTTTTTTTTTCTTTAGCATCCTAGCACCTGAAATACTTCCTGACACATTGTAGAGTAGAATCAGCAGTTTAAGCTCAGCTTCTGCCAAGACCAAGGTAAGAGTCTTTGTGTAAATCATTTCTTCACTCTGGGTGCCAGTTTCCTCTTGGGTTCTGTATGTGTGTGCTTCAAGAAGTTCACAGAAAAGTGGGTGTTTAGCCTAGGGGTTAAGACACCCACATTCCACATCTGAGTTCCTAGGTTCAATTACCAGCTCAGGTTCCTGACTCCAGCTTCCTGCCAATACAGATCCCAACGACTCAAATAATTGGGTTTCCAGCTCCCAGATTCAGCCTATCCTTCAGCCAACCATTGCATGAGATTGGGGAGTGAACCAATAGATGGGATGTCTGTCTCTTAATTAAATAAGTAAAATTAAAATTTAAAAATTCATGAAAAATGGAACTAAAAGTTTATTTTTATGTAAAAGAATTTTGAATTCCATGAAGATGATATATCTTCTAAAGGTTCAATGAAATATGTGTTATGAGAAAACTACATATGAATTTCAAAAAAAAGTTTGCAACTAAATATAATTCTATTTTCTGTGGACTTTCTGAATTACCCTATGCATATCCTCTAAAAATTCCTTTAAAATTCAGTTGGATGGGGTTTATTGTTTGCCTGTTATATACCAGATAATTTCAAATGAAGACCAATACAGACACAAGAAGAAAATATGCCAATGTTCTCTTTTGAGTCCTATTTTGTTCTGATGCAGCTGGGCTGCTACCTGAGCCTTTGCACACTCAAGGTTCTTTGTTGCTCTGGAAGCCACTTATTATTGGAGACACACCATTGCAAGATCAATCTAGTTAGTGACTGGCACGTGCCTGCCACACCTCCTCTATGAACCTTCATGCTGGGGATTTTCCATCGCTTGGTTACTGCTTAGGGGAAAATTTTTAGAGCAGCTGGAAACAGCATTGATGATCTGCTCCTATTACTGGTATAAATCATGTTGATTGGGGTATCTAACCACAGTGGGGACACATCAGCTGGGAATGATTTGATTTTTTTATCCACACATTAGATGAGCTTTACTATTGTTTTCACATGTAATTAGATGGCTTCATATGAATACAGGGGAACCATGTTACATGAAATTATATACTTATTAGAAAACTATAATCTTAGATAATTATTAGATAATATCTGATATATGTGAGAGATTAAAAAACTCACAGAGATGCATTTTGTGAAAAAAGTAGGCATAAATTTCAAAATTTAGACATTATTATAGAATAAGTGGAATCAAAGCCATCTGTCTAGGTTGCATTATTGTCTGCTTATTCACAAGCATGCTAGATTGTTTTTATTGATATCAACTTGGGATGTAATTTTAAAAACCTGCTAATACAGAAAAGTTAGTTTAATTGTCTTGTCAACTAGGATTCTCTGTTTCAAAGTTCTGCACCAGTGGTCTACAATAATGTCAGTGATCCATTTCCATAAAATAAAGCTCCCAAAAACTTAGTGGCTTAAAGCAGCAATTTATTATTTCTTTTGATTTTGTGGGTTCAGCCAAATGGCTCCACTCTTGTCTGGAATCAGTGCTATAACTGCATGGAGTTGGGAGCCAGTCTGGGGATATCAGCTGCAACACTTTAATTCTCCTCCTTTTGGCCTCCCCATATGGCTAACTTGGGCTTCCTCACATGATGCTCTCAAAACTCAGACTTAGGACATCAGATTTAGGTCATCTAAATCAGGTTTAGATATGAATGAAGCACCTATGCTGCAGGTCCCTGGGTGTGGCGCCCTTGTGTCCAAAGATCTCTGAATGAAGACAAGTTGTCTGCCTCTCCAAATACCTAACATACAAAGGTGATTCAGGGAGAGAGCACTCAAAATGAGAGGAAAATGAAGCTCATAGCAGTCCTAGTTCATAGTTCATAATAATTTTTTCATGAAAAATGGAATTCAAAGATAAGCTTATCATTGGTACAGTTTTTTTTACCTTCACCTGTCTGAATTATTATTTTGATTAATATAAATAGAGCAGATCTCATGTATTTCATAGATAATGTACTAAGAAGATAACCATACTTTCCTTCCTCTCCACTCCATTCTTTTCATTAATTTTTGCAAAAATGTAAGTTATTCTACTCTATGATCACAGGCTTAATTTACCAATACCTAGAATATCCAACAAGTAAAAAGTAGGAATACCATAGTTGCACAGAAGTATAGACAAGGGCTAAAAATAACAACTGTAGCACAACATGTCCATTTAATTCCTATATACTTTTTGTATGCTATATTAATTGTCACATATCAGAGAAAACATGATATTTGTCTTTTTGAGACTAGTTTATTTCACTAAGCATAATGGTTTCCAGTTGTATCCATTTTTATTGCAAAAGCCAGGATTTCTTTGTTATAACTGAGTAGTATTCCATAGTGTATATATGTATTTATATGTATACACACCATATTTTCTTTATCCACTCATCAGTTGATAGACATCTGGGTTGATTCCATATCTTAGCTATTGTGAATTGAGCTGCAATAAACATGGGGTGCAACAGCAGACTCATAGAATGGCAGATGTCCTAAACAGCACTCTGACCTCAGAATCAGCCCTTAAGGCATTTGGATCCAGCTAAAAAGCCCATGAGAGTATTTCAGGCATGGAAAGCCAAGACACTCTGGTAAAAGAAAAAAAAATGACCTAAATGAAAGATCTCTGTGAGTGAGACCCCAGCGGAAAGAACAGGCCATCAAAGAAGGAGGTACCTTTCTCTGAGGGGAGGAGAGAACTTCCGCTTTGATTATGGCCTTGTCTAAATAAGATCAGAGTTGGAGAACTCAAGAGGCTTCCATAGCCTTGGCAGCTCATGACAAGAGCCTCCAGAGATTACTGACGTCATAAATAAGAGTGTCAATTGTTAAATCAACAACAGGAGTCACTGTGCACTTACTCCCCATGTAGGATCTCTGTCCTTAATGTGTTGTACAATGTGAATTAAAGGTATAACTAGTACTCAAACAGTACTTTATACTTTGTGTTTTTGTGTGTGTGCAAACTCTTGAAATCTTTTCTTAGTATGTACTAAATTGATCTTCTGTATTTAAAGATAATGGAAAATGAATCTTGATGTGAATGGGATGGGAGAGGGAGTGGGAGATGGGAGGGTTGCAGGTGGGAGGGAGGTTATGGGTGGAAAAAAGCGGCTATAATCCAAAAGTCGTACTTTGGAAATTTATATTTATTAAATAAAAGTTAAAAAAAACATGGGGTACAAATAACTCTTTCATATGTTGATTTCATTTCATTTGATTACATTCCCATGTGGCTGGATCATATGGTAGATATATTTTCAGATTTCTGAGGACTCTCCATATCATCTTCCATATTGGTTATACCTGTTTATGCTCCCACCAACAGTGTATTAAGGTACTTTTCTCCTTAATCCTCACCAACATTTATTTATTTATTCATTCATTCATTCATTTTTTGATAATTGCCATTCTAATTGGGATGAGGTAAAACCTCTTTGTGTTTTTTACTTGTATTCCCTGATAAAGTGGGCATCTTTGTCTGGTTCCAGATCTTAGCGAAAGTGCTTCCAACTTCCACATTCAATATGGTGCTGCCTGTGGGTTTGTTATTAATCACCTTGATTGTGTTGACGTATGTTCCCTGTATACTCAATTTGCTTAAGGCTTTTATCATGAAAGGCTGTAGTATTTTTATCCAATGCTTTCTCTGCATCTATTGAGATCATTATGCGGTTTTTATTCTTCAATTTGTTAATGTGATTTATCACATTTATTGATTTGCCTATGTTGAACCATTGCTGCCTACCAGGGATAATGTCCACTTGATCTGGGTGAATAATCTTTCTGATGTGTAGTTGGATTCAATTAGCTAGTATTTTGTTGAGGATTTTTGCATCTGTTAATCATGGATATTGGTATATAGTTTTCTTTCTTTGTTGTTTCTTTGTTTAAAAAATCCCATTTCCCAATTTTGGCTTTGAATCCTGTGCTTCTATGATATTTTCCAAGAAGTCTTTGCCTATGTCAATGTCTTAAAGAGTTTCCCCAATGTTCTCTAGTAATTTGATGAACTCAGGTCATAGATTTAGGTCTTCAATCAATTTTGAGTGGATTTTCATGTATAGTGTAGGGTAGAGGGCTTGTTTCATATTTCTACAAGTGGAGATCCAGTTTTCCCAGCACTATTTGTTGAAGAGACTATCCTTGCTCTGGGGTAGATTTTAGCTCCTTTGTCAAAGATAAGTTGTTTTTAAATGCATGGATTGATTTTTGGAGTTTCTATTCTTTAAGATTTATTTATTTATTTGAAAGGCAGAGTTACAAATGGAGGGAGAGGGAGAGGGAGAGCGAGAGAGAGAGAGAGAGGACTTCCATCTGCTGGTTCACTCCCCTGATGGCCAGGCTGATCTGAAGCCAGGAGCTTTTCTGGGTCTCTCATACGGTACAGGGGCCCAAGAACTTGGGCCAACTTCCACTGCTTTTCCAGGCCATAGAAGAGAGCTGGATCAGAAGTGGAGCAGTGGGACTTGAACTGGCACCCATATGAGATGCTGGCACTGCAGGCGACAGCTTTACCTGCTACTCCATTTTTGTGCCAGTACCAGTCTGTTTTGATTAAAACTGCCCTGTAGTATATCTTGAAATCTGGTATTATGGGGGCCGGCACTGTGGCATAGCAGATAAAGCCACCATTTTTTTTGTCTCTCTCTCTCCATTTTTTGTGTCTTCTATTTATTTCTTTAATGTTTTATAATTTTCATTGTCGAGATCTTCGACATCTTTGGTTCATTTTATTCCAAGATACTTAATTTTTTGTAGCTATTCTGAATGGGATTGATCTTAGAAGTTCTTTCTCAGCCACGGTGTTATCTGTGTACACAAAGGCTATTGATTTTTTTGGTGCGTTAATTTTATGTCCTGCTACTCTACCAAACTCTTTTATGAGTTCCAATAGTCCCTTAGTGGAGTATTTTTGTTCCCCTATGTATAGTATCATGTCATCTGCAAATAGGGGTAGTTTGACTTTCTCCTTTCCAATTTGTATCCTTTG